AATACCGTTATGGTCAGGCAAAACTCTTGAGTTATTAAAATTCTAATATCAGTGGTAAAAGTAAATTTTACCCCTCTTTAAGAAAATAATCCCCTCTCAATTTAAGAGTATTTTCTTTTGATACTGAAAAAAAAATTTATTTAATTGAAATAATCGATAACTTGACTATTATCAAAATAAATATTTATTTGTACTAAATAATTATTATTTGCACCAAATATTGTTTATTTAATTTAAAAAAAAATTATTTGGTACAAATAAATATTTATTTGATAATAATTGCCAAGTTACATTTAAATGAAATAAATTTTTTTTCATTATATTATTCAAATGGAAAAGTAGCATCAAAATGTGAAAGTTCAGTTTTTTGAATTCAAATTCGAATTTAGCGGGTCCAGAATCCCGTACAGGTATTAACATTTAACCCAGGTTTTGTCCACGTTGCCGCAAAGAGTTAATTCGGATTTAGAGAGATCCTTTAGTCGCGGTACGTATACTCCCATCTTTTTTTTTCTTTTTTTTTTGTAAAATATTGCCAGATGAAAGAGAAATGATCACATCTGCTATCATAATGAAAATACGAGACTCATGAATATTCCCTAAAAAAAACATTAGTTCCAATATTCAATGATTCTTAAATATATATAGAATAATCCTCACATAAATAATTTAATAATTTGCAGGAATGCACTGAGACAACTGGATTATACAGAGTATTAACTGGTTAATACCGTTTATGATATTTGCACATTGACTATAGGACAATTAACCAGGTTAATAAAACTGATTAACCAAGAATTATATACTTTTGAGATTAATCCTGGTATTAATTTGGATTATTAAATAAATGTCAGTCTAGTTGTGGTTAAGTATTTAAAATTATATTTAATAATATCAAATCATTAATTATATTAACATTTTGCATTAGAGAAATGTAACGGATGATTTTGAAAGGTTAAAAAAAATAATTAATTGAAATACAAATAAAAAATTGTACTTAATTAAATAAATTAAAATTATAATTAATATCAACTTATTAATTAATTTATCATTATTTATGACAATAATTTTTAAAAAAAAATTTTTATGCGTCAAGTTATTTTTTGTTAGAGTATTGTAAATTATAATTCTTTTACTACATTAAAAATTAGTAATTTAACTATAAATTATAGTTTTTTAATTTGAATTTTTTTGCTTTTTAAATTTTAGAAATTATCTCAATTTAATATTAAAAGGAATTCAAAAGACTGGTTTCAAAAACTTTAATTTATGAACTGTCATTGAATGTCTTGAAAAAATAAACAAACAGAACCGTTACTGTGGTAATAATCGCGAATAATAGATTTTATTGATTTTGGAATTTAAAATTTACAATCTATTATACATAACTTAATTTTTTTTAATTATTATTATTTTTAGTATTATTTTTTAATAATAAAAGCTGGTTAATAGATTATAAAGGGTATTAATCAGATTATACTCTGTATTAACTATTTTTTATTATCCTAATTGTATTATCCAGATTATAATTAAAAAAAAACGTAATCTTTATTCCTTTTTAAAAATATTTCTTGTAGGTGATTTTCAACCAAACTGACGGTAACTAATGCAGTAATGAATACTGGGGCATTTACCTGATTTAAAAGTTGAAAATAAAATGTAAAATTAATTTTTAAAAGGAATATTCTAATTTTGAGATTTAATTTTTTTGCGGTGTAGATTTAGGCTGTATATTGTTATTTACACTTAATAAATATAAACGAAAATTAGTAGTTAATTGTGGTATCGAAAAAAATTAATTGAATAGCTGACAGTGCTTACCAACCTACTCATAGTCTGATAATAATCAAAGATTGGTTGACATAATTAGTTCTGTCTTCTGTGAAACGTCACAGAGAACAGGGAGAAACCTTGAAGATCTAATTGGAACATTGTGGTCATAGTTAACAGTATATAGGATAATTAATAATATACCGTTTAACTATTTTCAATCAAAAAAAGAAATATATTATGTTAACGAAAAAGGATCAGAATATAATTTTTGGAATATTTAATCCCTCACAAAGATAGTCATATAATCATGATGATATTTTGAATGATGAGTTTTTTGAAAAATATTTTCTACTGGCTAAAAAATAAGTTTTCAACACCTCTTACAAATTTATATTTTACAAAAAATACACTACCAGTCAGAATTGAGAGACCACACATTTTTTGATGAATAAAGAAGCTCTTAGCATACAAAATTCATAAAAATTAAATTTTTTTTTCTTTACATCTTAGAAGGTGATAATATTATGAGAAGAATAAGACTTTAAAAAAGTGATAAATAAATTTTTGAAAATATTTCTTTATCTTTTCTTTCATTAACAGAATTTATAGTTACAATCCTACGGAAAAAATTATTTCAGTATATTTTACAAAACTAATTTAGGATGAGCGGATATTAATGATTCCTTGACCAAGTTTTTCGTAAACTCAGAAACATTCACTAGTTTAAGCGAAATAATTTTAGAATAACTGTAAGGAGTTTTGTAATTTCTGATATAGGCTTGGATGTACAGTCTACTCTCGATATGACGAAGTCGAAGGGAGACAAAAAAAATTCGAGTTATCGAAAAATTTGAGTTATCGAATATTGATGATTTTCGGGTCGTACATGCAAAAAATTGAAACACTTTTTATTTGTTTGGAAATGATTAAATATGTATTTATATTTTAACGTTAGGTTACAATTTTATTGTTTAAAATTAAACTGGTTTACAAAAGTATTTCGTCAGAGTTGTCTGTTTTTTTTTTTTTTGATTTGATGAGGTTTCTGCAACAAAATTTTCAATTGCATATAGAGCTAAAAAAATCTCATCAGGAACATTCTGTTGCTTTTGGGAGTATTTTTGTAGCCCTAACAAATAATTATTTGCTTGTATTGCCGTTGTAGGTTGTAGGTAACATATCTTTTTTTCGTTTAACACCCGATTCAACTTCCTTAATAATAATTTTTAATTTCTCGGTAATGCTGAGAGATTTTAATTTTCTTTTACTTTCCATATTGATAGTTCAAATAGACTGACTGTACTAAATGAAAGTTGAGGAAAACAGTTGTACTCGAGGAATATACAAAGGACTCATTAATTAAATGGCTATACACTATGAAGCGTGACTCATATAAAACTGTTTATTTACTAGAAATATAATTAACAGAAATTCGACTTATCGAGACGTTATTCGACACTTGGGGTCGGCTAAAAACTTTGACTTATCGAAAAATTTTAGTTATCAAAATTTGAGTTATCGAAAAAATTAACACGCAATGCATACAGGATATGGACGGGACCCAAGAATTACTTCGAATTATCGAAAAATTTGAGTTATCACGCTTTGTCTTATCGAGAGTAGACTGTATAAATGTTTCTTACTTTTTGGAAAATATTGTATGAGAAAATGGTGATAAATGTCTCGTAGAATCTAAATAAAAGGTGGTTAAAGTCTTCACAACGGTGTCTGCCGTGAATAGTCCAGCAGAGATTTGTAAAATTTTATATAGGGTGTATCGAAAGTCACGCTAGGAATACGTATTACAGGACAGACATTCTATATCACTAAAATTATTGTCGTAAATAGAATGATAGGCAGGTTCGAATCCCCAAAAGCGTAAATATAATTTAAAATGCGTTTCAGGTGTGTAATAATGCGTTTAATTAATTAACAGTAATTTCGGGAATTGTAAGTGATTTGTGACAGTGAAAGTGTTAAATTAATTGTAATTAGAAAAATAATCAATGTTTTTTTGTCAGCGAGTTGTTAAACTGCGCATGCACTTTATGAAGCTGCGACACATTTTATAAAACTTCTGGTAACAAAACATCCAACCGATTACTGGAGAACAGCTGAGCATCCCTAGATGAGATGTAACTATATAAAAAGAAAAGTATTAATTTTATACCGATTTTAGGTACTAAATCGTCATTTGGTTCTATATTGATACCTAAAATCAGCTCTAATTTAACACTCTCTTTTTAGTGTTCTGCTTTTTAAAAATCTTTTTATTTATTCGATGTAACAGAAGAATTTTTACAGGGAATTGTATATATATAATATTTGAGTTTTGTGCTTCTGTAAATTTGTTTTTGTTATTTGCGAAGAGTTGAAAAAGGTTTTTGATAGTTTTAAATAATGTCTTAATACTTTTAATAGATAAATAAAAAAATTAAAGTACTTTTCTTTAAAGAGAGATTTTATACTTGTTTGGATTTTAGGGTTTCGCTAATAAAATATACACTTTCGTGATACCATTCCAAAACTTCAGTTTCTACTTTATCGTACTTGGAGGTTCTTAATCTTTTCACTTTTCTATTTACTGCACTAGAAGAATATTTATTAAATAACTTAGATTTTTGTCGAATAATCGTTGACAGTGTTAACGTAGGAATATTAAATTGCGATGCAATATCTATTTTGCACCTTTCTTTATCAACTACACGAAGAATCTTTAATTTTGTTTCTAAATCGATTGAAGTTTGTTTTCTTTTCGACATTTTGATGCTAACTATTTCGAGATCGAATTGTCACTATATCATACTCATTGATAGTTCGTATTTGCAGGGTAATATCGGTTGAGATTCGAGGTTTTCTCGTATCATCGTGAAACACTATAAAGATTAATTCTACTTTATAAAATTCAGATATAAACAAGAATTCCGCTTCATTAAATTCGGTATGTAAATTCAATCTAATTAAATTTTAGAAAATATTCATTATCGTCTCGTTAATATTCAATATCCCTCTTTAATAAATACACGGTAACTTCCGTGTAAAGAACTTTTGTATATGAAAAATATAAAATACAACTATATAAATCAGTTTTTAACAAAGTGTAAAAATACGTTTCAAAGATAAATCCCAACTTCATTCAAAATGCAAAACAAAAAAAATTTCTATATATACCATATTTTCCTGTAATCTGTTGAAACAAATGGTACTAAAAAATGTATAATACTCACGACGTAATCTCTAACCATTGTATAATGCCGTTGCAAGTCGTTCTTCTCGTTTGCGAGCTTCTCGAAATCCATTTTCAACCTAGAACATAAAAAGAAAAGATAAGTGACACGCGTATTATAAGGTTAGTATATATGTATGTATGTGTATTGGTGGTGCTGCTGTTTGCCCTCTCTCGTTCCTTCGCGTTTTGCTCTGGGGATTTTCAACGTTTCGAATTATTCGAAAGCAAGAGAAGTAACCTCCTGGGAACGTGATCGTTGGTGAATGTACCAGAGAAACTGGTAGTGAAAACGGGGGGTTGGAAAGTACTTTTTTAAAAACGAAGAAAACACACACACGAGGAAAAAGAAAGACAGAAATAGTATATGACAAATAGAAAAAGAAATTTTATAGAAAGAGTAAGAAATTTACGAAACGAGAGAGAGGGAAATACATACTATATATATATATATATAAAATGGAAAAAGTTAAACTGCATAAGGTTGCAGAGGAAGGGTATCAGAGGGTGGGGTGTTGTGAACGGTGATGGAGGTAAAGGTGCTTTCGAGGCTAAAAGAGGATGAGAAACGTTGGCGTCAATAAGCAAAGCGAAACCGTTGGTGAAGGGGGAAAGGAGGAGAGAGGGCGGTGAGCCCAGAGTGCGAAGAAAGAGAGACGGACCGGAGAAAGAAGAGATACATACATATAGAGAAAGAAAACTCACGAGTGGTACTGTTGCTGCATGTAATTGAATTCCTCTTTGATTCTCTCACAAGTGGCATCCACCGTGAACTTCAGCCCTCCCGCAGCCCCACCGCTTCCTCCGCCACCCTGAAACAAGACCAAAGAAAAATTCGATTAGTATTCACATGTATATATACACACACACACATATATATATATGCAAGCACAAATGTCACTAAAAAATACGATATTAACGTTTTACTTTCCACACGGAAATAATCTTCACCTAGAACAGCGATATGTTTCACTAAAAGACGAAAGTTTTCGCTATTCTAGATAAACATATCGTTTTTCTAGATAAAGATTTTTTCCGTGCACCAATGAAATGTATCCTATCTTAAAAACGAAACGTGTAATTGCCTAACTTCAAGCGTAGACACCTATTCTTATTGGTACAATTCAAAATTATGAATTGTGATTGGTCAAAACTGACGACATACTTTCATCAGATACTTGCAACTAACTTCAAGTGTAGACACCTTTCTTTTTAATTTTTATTGGTTAATTTTTCTAATTTGAAAATAAAGTTTCATATTTTTTAAAAAAATTAATATTTTGCATGAAGCATTAAATGACATAAAGCTAACATTCTTTGAAATAAATATTTTACAAATAAAGATGTAAGTCCTTTAAAAATATAAGTAAACTTATAAATTGGTGCGATTCGCTTTTGTCAAGGTTGGATAGAAATAGGGGCAAAACGGGATAGTTGCCTTTATTCACACATTAATGGACCAATAATTATCGTATTACACATAACGTGAAACCAATATGACAGTTTTCAGGTGGTAAAAACATTGAACGATTATATCACGTTTTTTATTTTTACCACGTTGTTTTATGAAAAAAACTGTTTTTGGTGATTTTCTTCTAACTTATCCATTTTGTTCAGAACGTATTTATTTTGTAAATAACAGCATTTTACATAACATTTTTTGTTTTTCATAATTGTCACTGACTACTCTAGCAGGTAAACATTTGTTTAATTGTTTGTTCAATCATACTTTTTATTGGTTAACTTTTTAGTGTCATTTCGCATGAGGGAGCAAAATGGGATATGGAGTTTATTTTATCACATAATTAAAACCATATTATTGTAAGTACAAGAGTTAATTAGTTTTGTATAAATGTTTCATTTTTCTTGTAGAAGGGTAAAAAAAATTATAAAATAAAAACAAGTAGAAAAAATTGGTCAGAAGAGAGCATGAAAAATGCGGTGGGCGAAAAATGGGTTTCAACTTATCAGCAAAAATATTTTCTGTCCCTCAAATCAATTTGGAAAAAAGGTTAAGATGCAACCTTCACTTTTGAAGATTTCAAGCAATAATAGGTTGAATTTTTTTGTAAACCCCAGCTTGCTTCTTAGGGTATCCCATTTTGCCCCCAGGGGAGGCAAGATGGTCATATTTGACTTTTCTACGTTTTGTTAATTTTATATTTTATTATGTAACAAATGTTCTTAATAAGATTGTGCCATGGAAGACTGATTCCCAAAGATGATTATTGTAATAAATAATAAAATATAGATATAGTAATGTTAGTTTTATTGAGCTTTAAACGTTAACAATCCTATTTTACCCCTATGTCCTCTAATTACAGTGTTTTCAGTATTCATAATAATATTAATTAGTGAGAAAAAATTAAGAGTGTTAGTTTGTAATTAATTGTTATAGTGATTTCAGTATACATGATAATTTTCTTTGGTGAAAAAAAATTGAGTGATAATTTGTAACTAATTATCAGTGATTACAGTGAGATCACTATTAAAAATAATTTTTTGTACTTTTACAGTGATTTCAGTTTTTGTGTTAAAGAAGTTATGAACTGGACAAGAAAAATGTATTGTTTATTGTATTCTTTTTCTTTGTTATTGTGATATTTAATTGAAATTATCTGTTTACTAATTTGATAAGCAAACTTTTAAGATAATTGATTCGATCTACGCAAAGATGTATTGAATCATGGTCAATTATATATGTTGCACTTTCACGAATTCGGTCTTGGGAATCTCTCAAATTTTTCTTGGAAATCAACAAACATAAAATATTGTTAAAAATTCTGTATATATACAAAATTATACATTTAAAATTAATAAATAAATTTTATGATTCGTTCAAAATTGTATATTATTAAATTACAAAAAATTAACATGCGCACACAAGCGCGCGGCCGGTCTCGTATTTTAAAATTTGACTCTATTAACCCTTGACACTACAGCATACGTAGAAGTATAACTGAGGTAGAAAACTACCCCAAAATTGTTTTGCTACTAAAATGTTCATATTAAACGTAAAATAACTTTTTAATAAGTCATTTTCTTCGTTTTTTATAAGGAAGAAGATAATGTTTATTATTTTTTGATAAAATCAAAAGTATGGTCAAAAAATTACAAAAATCCCAAAAATTTATTTTATATTCAAATTTGTACCTGGATCACTTCACGTGGACTGCCACATATATAAAAAGAACTAGATATAAAAATAACTTTTTTAACAATATTAAATTTTTGTGTTCGTATTGTAACTAATTTAGTAATGGAATATATGAAGAATGAAGTTATATTAAAATTAAATTTTAAACGCATTACAATTATTAGATACCTATATGTTATTGATATATTTTAACACTTATTCCAGACAATAAAATAGATTATATATATTATCAAAGTTTAATAATGAAAATAATGATATACAATTTACCGCATAGAGATTGGAAATAATGGCATTTCTATTATTGAATAATAATATAATATATTAAATGATCATAGGTATATAACAATAATTTAATACAAATTTAAATTGGAAACCAACTTTGTTCGGTCCTATTTTAATCCCTTTTTATATTTTTCAAATAAATTAAATATATTATTCAAATAATATTCATCAAATTATATCACACTCTGATGTATGTGAGAACAATATGCTGCTGCTAATTTATTAGTAAAGGATACCATTTTATTAATTAAAATTTATTATATTTAAAACTTATATTAGTAATAATAATTACCTAATTACTTATTAATAATTAAATTAAATTTAATTAATGGTTATAACAAATAATTAAAGATTTCGTGAGCCTTAAAATGATATATTAAACTTTTTGTAGAAAAATATTATACGAAATATTTTTAAATTGTTTAGTATTTTTTGCATGTAATTATTATATGAGAAAAGAATATAAATCTCTAACCTTCGTTTGTTATCGATGTATAATTTTTTTTTTTTTGAACGATAAAACGTGCCGGAAAACAAGTGATTTAAAAAAATGTCACACACTTCCGAAAACAACATTTTAATTATATATAAAAAAAACAAAATACTTTTCGTAAAGATTCAAGTAATCGTGATTTTAAAAATTTCGAACACTCTCGGAACAAAAAAAAATACTAGTGTTGAAAAAAATAGTCTAAAATTTGTTCGTCTGCGAATTAAATGATTTAAGCATTTCCGCAAAGCAATATTTATAATTGAAATAAAAGAAGTATCAAAAAATAAAAGACGATAGAGAAAATTAGAAAAATTCACGTTCACGTTAGTCACGTCTAAACAGGTCAATACACGAATTGCAACTGATTTAATTATCATTAGACCCTTACAATCTCTGGCTTAAATGGTGCCTTTTGTTTACTTCAATGTAAACATACAGTTCGAGATGCAGGTATAAAGGTAATAAAATTCCAAAATAGCTTCAACCAATTACCAAATATTTCAGAATATTATTTTAATATACGTATAAATTACTTTTAGTTATAAAAATTCTACATCTCGAATTAAAAATATTCGAGCAAAAAGCATAAATAAACTTAGTGAGAATAATATAAATTAATTAATGTAAATAATATATTAAAAAAAATAATCGAATTAATTAATTAATTATAATTATTATGTAAAAAGCATCGTCACAGAACACATACTCTTAGATTTATTTCACTATATACAAATATATAGTAAAAATTATTATTATAGTTAAGATATTTTTTCAAATGACAATTATTATTGTGATTCGTCGTTTCGTTTCGCCTGAGGAAGAACGATTCGTTCGCGGTTGCAAGAGAACTGCGTGAGTAAGATAAACGGTCACGACAGTGGAAATTAATTATAACTGCGAGAATTTCGTGCTCTATGCCTACAGCAATGAAAAGAGACCATATATACGAAGGAATGTATTTCTTTTTTTTCAATATAATTTATATAAAGCATCGTAGTACAACATTGGTCACGTATTCGTAAATTAGTGTAATGGACTCGATCATTAAAATCACATCTATATAATTTCATCACATTCACACACACACACACATTTCTAATATTATTATTATTGGATATTATAAATATTATGAGACCAACAATATTATAATTATCAAATGTATATTTTTTAAAACTTATTTATCTAATTTTACGTTTAGGATTTCTATTTATTTAATATATTTATTTATCTACATAATTGTTTCTTTTTTAAAATACCTAATTGCAGAAATTTTCTTATTTAAAGTTTAAGAATCTGTAGCTTACTACTTATTTTTGAAATTTTCATCATGATAATTTAATACTGTGACTGACAAATGAATACATTTTCTGAAGATTTTAAATTTTGCGAAAAAATTATCTTCAACATTCCGCCGTAATTATTGTGAAAAAATATTTAAAAAAACAGTTAAATCATTTTTAGGGTTAAAAATATTTTTTTTTTTTTTGAAAATTTTTAACAATCACGAAAAGAATGATTTGGCCACTTGTTGAATTCAGGTGATATGGAGGAATGTTATAGAAGAGGTGGGGTAAAATCGGGGTCGCTTCACTTGTTGCAATCATCAAACGAAATAGTCATCGAACAGGTTGTTTCAACAGTTAACTCAATTGGATATTTGAATACTGCCCTTCACGCAGCAGTTTTCACGTACCTCTCTCTTTCTATACTAGCCCAAGTAGAAATGTGCCACTGGCATAGTACTGACCCAACACTGCCAGTCAGTAAAACGGTACTGACTGCCGTACTGGGCCAGTAGTGGACCAACCCTGGCTGGTAACGCTGTCCAGTACTGATTTTGTCCCGCTCACCAGTACTAACGTAGTACTAGAATAATACTG